TCATTTGAATTGCTTCTTGGTGTTGCAACATTTATCCAATCTATCAATCTTATCCGCTTCATCAGCCTCAAAAATGGCTGCATCATTAGCCACTTATCCACATGAGGTGGTTCGTACCAGACTACAAAATCAAACTGTCAAGCCATTCAAATACAAAGGTGTTTGGAATGCAATTAAATTGATTAACCAAGAGGAAGGTTTGATGGCTTTCTATAAAGGGATGTCAACAAATTTGCTTAGAACCGTTCCTTCTAGTGCTTTGACTATATTAATCTACGAAATATTAATAAGGAAACTTAATTCAACTTCACCATCTTCTTCTGATAAATAAAAAACTAATGATATTAGTGTTGGCACGCAACAAAATTTTGGTTTAGCTGAAATGTGTTAATTTTTTTTTTCATTTAAATGTCGATTATTTAAATGTTAATTAATAAGTTGATGGATGAGTCGGAAGAGAAGATGAGAGAGGATGATGAAAATAAGACAAGAGAAGAGTGTGGTGGAGTAAAGAAAAAATAAAAAAAAAAAGTAACCAAAAATAACAAGTACATACACTATATACACAATTTTTTTAGATGCATTTTCACACGCAATTTATATATATATTTTTTTTTCATTTCATTTTGTAAAAAATTTTGAATATTTATTTTTTTCCTTTTTTTTTTTTTTTTTTGGTGAAAAATGTATATGCTATTAAAGCAAAGCAAAAATTAAAATATAATTTTTCATTTACGTTATTATTATTGTTGTTATTGTAAACATATAATAATAAAGGACATTCTTATAGAGAATAATAATATAATAAATAATTAATATTTTTTTATTTTTCAAAGATGAATTATTTTATTTTATTTTATTTATTATTCAAAATTAATAGATGGTTTTCCATCTTTTCCAACAATTTTAAGAGCATCAAACATTTTTTTTAATGATACGGCGACCACAGAGATCTACACTCTTTCCCTCAACGACGCTCTTCCGATCTAAGATAATATAAACCCATAATCACTTTAATTTTAGCAAGCCATCATCCACATAATGCATTTTTTCTACATTCATAAA